GACTTACACGGATTATACTTCAACATAAAGACAGTGATCTTCATCGTTGGGGCAATAGGCAGCATAATGATAGAGGCAAAAGACTGGAACTGTCAAGGATTTAGTGTTATTTGGTTCTACAATCAAACATCTTTAGTACCAGCAGTCAAGAAATTAAAAGCTATTGCACTGGGGAATTCTGCTGTCAATTACTTTCCCAAGTACAAATGATGTTAAAGACCAATGTGCACCTGAATCAGGCCACGGTCTTTTCAAACATCTGAGAGCTGAATGATGACTGGTGACAGAAGAGCCAATGCCTTTGAGGTGGGTTTTTGGATTTGCCAGAACTGTTGTCTTGGAGAAAGTGCAGCCAGAGTGCTGCTTAGAGGCAAGGATGGCAAAGTTTCATCTATTTTGGGCATGTTGTTAGGAGTGGCTTGTCTTTGGAAAGGGCTATCATGCTTGAAAACGTGGAGGGTCAATAAAGGAGATGGAATGACAGTGACGAGCAGGAATGGGCTCAAGCGTTAGCGATGAAGATGGCACAGGACTGGATTCAGATTTGTTGTTCATAAGATCCTTATGTGTTGACTTGACAGCATCTAACAACTAGAAACAGCACTTCCATTACAGTACTCCATACAGTGTCTGTATCTTCCGAAATTCTATTTGTTCGTACAATAGTTAATAATTTCCACTGGAGCCTTACGCATTAATCATATTATACTTCCTAATAGCTTCAATATCTCAATTTTAGTCTAATTCTATAGTCTCTTAGTAACGGGTTGATTTTACCTACTTCTCAGTGTCTTAAAATTGTGTACTAAATGTCAGACATGGGTTGGAAAGGAGATTGCATAAGACTTAACATCTGAAAACAAACAAGCTATTTCTCCTATTACACCTTTAGAAGTGTGCAAGATTGAGCCAATCTAGTTATGAGTTTAGCAAGATGTGGATGTCGTTGTTGTGGCTGTCCTCAGGGATCCTTGGTGGTGTGACAGAGTAAGCCCTGGCTGCTAACCAAAGAGAACAGTTGTTAGGTGCCATATGGTCAAGTAGTGACGCTATGAACAGCAGACCTGAACCCTGTCCTATACTGTGCCATCCTCATCTCTGACTTGCTTGACCCCTTCACTGCAGTCCTGTGTCAGTCTATTTCACTGTGGTCTTCCTCTTTCACTGACCTTTCCAAGCATGTCACTTTCCAAGAAAGAGCCTCTCCCAGCAACATGCTCAAAGTATGTGAGACAAAGCTTTTTGTCTGCCTCCAAGAAGCATCTGGATGCACTTTTTCCAAGACATTTGTTTGTTCTTTTGGCATTCCATAGGATATTCCGTTCTCTTCTCTAACAGCACAGCTCAAAGGCATCAATTCTTTTTCTGCCATCCTTATTCACTGTTCAGCTCTCAACTACTAAGGCGACTAATAAGGTGACTGAAAAGACCATGACCTGAATCAGGTGCACCTTAGTCTTCAAAATGACATCACTGCTCTTCAGTAACTCAGTATGTGGTGGTGGTGTTGTGTACCAAAGAGTTGGAAATGGCCCAAAGCTGACCCTGCAGAGGGTTTTCAATGGCAGTTAATTACAAAGGAGGAGACTTTCCATCTTTCTCCCCCAGAGCAGCCAATGGACTTGGAACCACTGACTTCAGGATTGCAGCACAGCTTTTTGCCAGTAGGCCACCAGAGCTCCCTATCCTGGGTATGCTCCTCTCTTAAAAGAGAGTAGGAAGAAATAATGAGACGGTGAGGACATAGGGTCACTGCTGGCTATTAGTGGTATTCAGTCATCCAACCTCTGTCTGTCATGATGGGAAAATCACCAGGTTGTGGATAAAATGTAGCTTTATTAGGACACAGGATACACTACAGCCACGGAGGAGAGAATGGGAGCCACACATGTCCTCTCAGGTGAGAGACAGGGATAAATATCTTAATATCCAATCACAGCACAGTCATTCAAATTATGTTTTAACAATTTTCATTTTCAAAGTTATAGTAAATAAAACAGTCCCTTGAGTTATCAGAATAGCATAGTTTTATAGAATGGAAGCAAATAACTACAGCAATATGTATATATAATTGAAAAGGGGTGGGGAGGAATGTGGGGACAGAGCTAGTGTCTGACAAGAGGAAGGGTGCCTAGCCCAGCCCAAGGGAAGTCATTCACTTAACCCTTAACCTGCCCAGCACTGTATTTCTTGGTGTCCCTTGGGCCAGCAAACCATCTGTATTTCCCTTAAGAAATGTGAGTTGTGGCCCCGATGAGGGCATTGGAGCACTGTGCTGAATCAGCCATGTTCTGGAGAGCACAGTGCTTAAGAGCAGCAGCTCTGGGGTCCATGCTGCTTAACTGCACTGGCAGAATGGGGAAGAGCACATGAGGTCCTTAGTGAAGAGAACTACTTCAGACATTGTGAACAATTACACTGGGTGGCTACCTGGAAATACAGCATTCTTCAACTGGACTCTGGCTACAAGTGGAAATTCTTAAACTCACCTGTTTCTGAAAAGGCAAACTCAAGCTGTGCAGCAAACCTAACATCCTGAATTGAATGAAAACTCAGTGTGCTTTGCAAAATTGCACTGCAATCATAGGAATAACAAAGGAAGCAAGCAAGGTGGCATCAGACCGCACAGGTAGCCCAGCAAGTCTAGAAGCCATAGCAGCTCCATCTGCAAGAAGTGCTGAGCATGAGACACAAGTGACTCCACATATGAACAGGTGAAAATAAGAGTCCGGATTCCCCTCCATCTTAATGAGCCTATATTCCAATGCATGAGGGAGGGGAGCAACGAAGATGGGGCCTGGACAGATGTGGGGGACTGGGGATTGGTAGTCACAGCTCAGAACCATCACAGTGAAGGGACAGAAACTGCCTGACCACTGGAAGCCTGCCAGAACCAGCCACAGCTAACCCACTGCTCTGTGTCAACACTCTCCGCTCAGGACAGCCCAGGAGAGTAAGCAACAAACGAAGTGGCAGGTGCTTCTAGAAGGACTTCAAGGTATCAATTAGGCCAACTTATACAAACCCTCTTTTCCATCCGTCTTGTCCACGCCCCCCAAAAGGGAAATAGGAAGCTGCACCACACAACCACATAACTACATGTAAGCTGGCTTCACAGGCTCATTTCAGGAAGCTTCAATTTCTTTGACAATAACTGCCATCGGAAAACATGCTTCAGCTAAATTCTGCAGAAGCTGGAACACAAAAGAAAACAAACTGGAAGTGGTTTGAAATACACCCCACAGGATTTTCCACAATGATTCTGCAGAAAATATCACCTATAATCTAGCTGCTCCCTGGAAGGGTGATGGCCAATCTCCTCCCATGCAATTTACAGTCTGAAAATCCACTGAGGGGTCAGCTATGAATAGATTGACTCGACAGCAATAGAGTTGAGAGTGCAGAGCTGTTTCCCAGCTCTGATTACCCGCCTCCAGCAACTTACCTACCCAGTGAGCTAGATCAGAGTGCCAACCACAGACCAGGACTAAATCTGGATGACATCATTTTTTTTGGAATTCAGAAACTGAAAATAGCTTATTTTTAAAATTTTTTCAAACATCATTTTGATAAATCTTTTTTATCAAAATAACATTTCATAACATTAAGTTCTACGAAATCTAAATTTAAATTTCATTGGCACACTACTACACCCACTTATGTGTAGCTACATTGCCTGTGGATGTTTTAGGACAAACTGCTCTGGTCCTAAAAGCCTAAAGTATTTACTCTGGTTTTTCAGAGAGAGATTACTGATTGCTTAAAACAGATTTCTCTCATGAAGAATGGACAGGTTCAAGAAAGGCAGGGCTGGGAAAGACAGTTAGTTGGTCATACCACAAACTGCCAAAGTTCAAAGTTGTAAATAAAAATGTGTCTCAGAAGTGGACTTATAAGAGGGCTTAAATAAAGAGGTGCAAGGTATCTTACAAGGAATCAACAAATACTCTTTTTTCAATTCATTCTCTTAGCAAGCTCATTTCATGAATCATCTCTGCTGCAAAACAATGGAACAGGGAAACAGAGCAGGGATGGTGCAATGGAGTCTCTGCAGAGAAGCAGTGAGGATGAAACACTCAGGCACCTGCACCGCCATGTGGAAGGGCCTCACTATGGAGTACCTCACCAGCCACACTCTGCTCTCCTCTAGGCCCCAGCCTGCTTCAACCAGCATGCACAAATGCTTCCCAAAAGGGCAGTGGGGAAGGGGAGGAACCAACAAAAGAGCCACAATGAAAAAGCAAGAGGCACTCTTGACAAGTGGAGTGGGGTGGAGATGGGATCTGTATTTAAGTATAAATGCAGTAATTAATTCACTTACTATCATTAGTTATGAAATTCACCATTAAAAGGAGTGGTATAAAAAAATGTCTACTTCAGGTAACATCTGGGCTGATGCTTCAACATGCAGTCTGAGGTTACGTGATGTGCAGAACAGCCATGCTTAGAACCTCCTTTCCACAAGTTCTGTGGGTGGTTCTTTGTAGCTATGAATGTGTCGCAGACTATACATATTTAATACTAAAACTCACAAACAAAAGGAGACTTCTAAAAACCACTGCTCATATATAATATTCTTTTATCCTCTACCTCACTATTTTAATGTACCCATAGAAATTATAAATGGACCTTTTAAAATCTTTGTCTTCTACTGGTCAGAAAGAACTGAAGCACAAGCAGGAGATGCTTTGTGCTGAAAAGGACACCGAACCCCACCCACCTATGTGCCCACACAATTCTGAGAAGCACAAGACCATAATATTAAGCCTGCTCCACTCCTTTCCCAAAGAAAACAGGCTGCATTTCAATTTTTCTCTTGTGCAGTGCCTAAGGTGTATCCCTGACTGCAGAACTGGTCTGTACACAGCCCCAAGTCCTGGCAACACTGCTCCCAACCAGGGTGGGGCTCCTGAGTGGGTGACGTAGCTCCACACTGGTAGGACATTATGGTGTGAGACTTGCCAACTCATTCTCTCATTCTGACCAGGTGCTGCACAGAACTATTCATATTCCAGGAACTGCTTGTGATAAAACAGCAGATATCTGAGGAGGCAAAAATGAAAAAGTATGCTTACGTTCTGATTCATGTATGTTAAAATGGGCCTTCCTACACAAAGATGCTATTGCAGTTGTCCTTCATCGGTGTCTACAGAGTTTAATTTGCCGACTAAATTCTCATTCCCAAAGGTGGAAAGATTTGTAAACATCTAAGTCAGACTCTCCTCTCTCCCATGTTCAGGTTACTCTGGACTTTTACCCTCATTCATTTATAAAGAAGTGATTAAATCTAGCCATCTACAATGTCTCTGGGCTGTGCTCCCCTCTTATGACTGCCACTGCCTTTGTACCAGGACAGCAGCAACGGATCTTCCCGGGGTCCCAAGGGGATCATCCTTTCCTTAAGTCAGCAAAGAATGGAACAGGAAGAACTGCTGGAGACTCAGCACTCTCGGTTCACAATTGTGGTTCAAAACAAATAGCTGTCTGGATACGCTCCCTGTGAAGCAGGGTACCCAACAGCAGGGTGACTGTGGTCAGCTGTGGTCTCTCTTGTCCAAAGATGGCAGAGGCTGGCATCTCGCAGAGTAAGTGAAGGTGAGTATTTGAGTGATACTCAAGACAGACCTCATTTCATGCACACATATGACCCAAGGAAGTAGCTGCTCATTTGGTTTCCCCCTTGGAGGCCTATGGACCTACCCCTCACTGTCTAGCACATCCTTGATGCTGGCCTTGGTAATGATGGCATCATCACACTTGAACCACTGGTCCTTGTGCTGCCGGATGAAGCTGGTGTAATGGCCACTTTCTAGGGTCCCTTGATGGTTAACAACTGCAAACAAGGAGTATCTGTGTGAAGAGGAAGGGGTTGAGAGAAAAACAGGAAAGTTACCCAGTTTTATTAATCAAAAACTGTACCTGAAGAAGTTCGTTCATGAGTGAAGGGGTGAAGGGATGCCCCACCCCTAACTCGTCAACACCTGGGATGTAAAGCAGATGTACAACAGCATGGCTGCATGGCAGGCGGTTCCCCGAGAGTCTAGACTGCCTGCTGCGTTTACCCAAGACCACCACACTCCTACAGAGCAAGGACTCCTCCTATTGCCTTCAGAGACTCAACAGCAGTCTGGACATCACAGCTGCAACCTCAACAAGATCCCTATTTCTTCATTTTCTCTTCCACACCGATGGGAGGAAGGATGGGAGAAGTCAACTTCAACAGAGAAGAATGAAAGCCCTGTTTTGGTGCCAGAAAGAGGCAGCAAGGCTAGAGTTTTGATGCAGAGGTCTTTCCTCCAGGACTACAGACTAGCAGCACAGACCAGGAAAGATGGACCAGGAAGTATTTGTAACACAGACTTAGGTGTGAAGGCCCTGTCCTAACAAGACACTAATTCTTTTCAACACAGGTCAATGAGTGGAATGCCTTTAAGTTAGCTTACTGTGCTGTCAAGTTGACTTATAGTGACCCTATGAACAAGAGTTTAAGTCAGCTAGTGAGTAAAACAACTCAAAAGCCTTTAGACTGTCACTAGCAAGTGCAGTGGCTGGCATGGGAGATGGGAATCCCTCCTCCCCTGGCTCAGGACAAAGGATTGAAAGCTTTCTTACTTGTTGTCATTGTTCATATTATCCATTTGCTGTTGGTACTGTCCATTCATTCTGCTTTCTTTGCTAGAAGAAATTAACAACAAAACTCAGTGTCACTAGAGTAACTCGTCAAAGAGAAGAATAAAAGTAACAGCACTCGATAAGGGCTGAGGTACACATCACACACGATTTCTAACGCTTCCAACTTTCACTTCACCCCAAAGCAGAGGACACTGATGCTCAGAACAGCTAAAAGGGTGACAGAGGGCAGGCCTGGTTGCAGTCTCAGAGCTAAACCACCCAGAGGGAAGAGTCCATTTTCTGGAAAGACACCTTGAGCAAGCCTTGGAGGGTTCTAAAGATGTTTTGTAATAGGACTGCAGCTGGACATGTAGGTGGCACATGTTTTCTTCCTCGTAAACCTGATGAGTCAATTTTTAAAGTACAAATTAATTCTTATTTTAACAATCAACCTGCTCAGAAAGAACATTACTATATATTGGTTTTACTACCTGTGACTGAGTCTGCCCTGGCTCACAATGTCGTCGTGCCCCCCCCCCCCCCCCGATGCTGGCCTGGGTGCAGAACCCTGCTCCACTGAGAGCAGACCCTGAGGCTGGCTTCTGAGGCCTGTGTGTGGACCCACTGTTACCGTGAGCTGACAGGATTCCTGTCTCAGTGTGTTCTGCTGTGGTTTGGTAACCTGCAGAATGTTATGATGCTGGAAACTAAGCCATAATATGTCAGAAACCATTAGAAGCCCCTGGACGAATGAAATCTAGGGTAAGCTGATTCACTTCCCCAGACACAGCTCCATGATATCAGCATACAGACGTACTTGACAGTGTTCCGCTTGTCCGCCAGCTGGCCCCTCCTCAAAACAGCTCACCAAGACAGGTGACAGCAGGAAGATGGTATAATGAATGAGGCACTCTTGGGTTTGATGGGTCAGTCATTCTGGAGGGGGCATTTGCCCTCTAACGTCCACTGCTGTTAGGTGCTGCTGAGCTGGCTTCAAAGAAATGAAACCCTGGCTGCCCTGCCCATCCTCACAACTGCTGCTACGCCTTAGCCCTGTGGCAGCTCCCACACTAGCCCATCTTATTTGCCTCTTCTGTGAAGATCCTCTACTCCACCAAGCACGCTTCCTCTCAGCAGGGACTGGCCCCTTCAGACAACATGCCTGAAGGATGTATAGTCTTACCATCCTGGCTTCTTTCACGCATTCTGGTTACACTTCTTTCAACACAGATTTGTTCTTTTTATAGTCCACAGGATATTCAATATTCTTCACTAATACCACCATTCAAAGGAATCAATTCTTTTGTGGTTTTTCTTATCCAATGTTCAACTTTTCACAACTGAAAACTGTAACTGTCAGGTGCACCTTTGTCTTTAAAATGACACTACTCTTCAGCACTCTGGAGAGGTCTTGTCAGCAGAGCTGTCCAATGCAATGTGTCTTTTGCTTTCTTGACTGCTACTCCCATGAGTGTGGATACTGTATTCAAGAAAAATGAAATCACTGGAAACTTCAATTTCTTTCTGGTTCATCAAAATGTCACTTACCAGTCAGCTCCAAGAATTCTTTACTTGATGCTTAGGGGCAAACCATTTTGAAAAAGCTATAAACTTTGAGCTTTTTCTGTAACTGCTTCAAAGCCTCTTCTCTCTCAGCAAGCAAAGGTGGGTCACTAGTAGTGCAAGTTGTTGATAAGTCTTCCTTTAATCCTGATGTACCATTCGTCTTCAAATAGTACAGGGGCTTAGATATGCAGAGCATGGAGGCTGAGTAAGTATGGTGAAATGATACAGGTCGGTGCATACCTTTTCTGAATTTAAAGCATGGATATTCACTTTGTTTTGTCTGAACATCTGCTTCATGTATATGTAGTTTCCTCATGAACACAATTAAGTCTTCCAGAATTCCCAGTTTTTCCAACATTATCCACAATTTATTTTAACTCTCGGAGGTGAATGCCTTTGCATAGTCAGGGAAAACATTTCTGTTACTATTTTCTGCTTTCAGTCAAGAGCCATCTTACCTTAACACTGATAACCTTCATTACATATTCTCTTTTGAATTTGGCTCAAGTTTCTGGGATTTCATTAATAATATACTACTCTAGTAATTTCTGAATTATTTTAGCAATATTTTATTTGTGCATGACATTAAGGCTACTGTTTGATTCTTTCTGTATTCTGTTGGACCACTTTTATTTGGAATGAGTATAAATATAGATCTCTTACAATTAGGTGGGCAAGTAGATTTCTTAGTACAGGTGAACACATTCAGGATTTCATCTGTTTACCAAAACAACTGCTGTGTCATCAATGTGGTCTGTGGCCTTATACTACTGGATCTGTTTTAATTAGTATTTTCATTGTACAAATACATTTTTTCACAGTCATTCATTTACATTTTATTTCATTCATTTACATAGTGGATTGTTTTTTCACTCCCTTATAATCATCCCACCAACAACTACTTTTGTGAAAATTTGTAAACCAGCTACTTTATGTCTCATGTCCTTTTATCCTCTTTTTAGATAGCCAATTGCTGTTTCCCCAATCCCTATTGTACTCTGAAGAAACAAGTGTGTTCCTTTTGTTGAAGGATCCTCTGTTCAACTTAAAAACTTGGAGCATCTGCCTCCTTAAGGGTCATTCAGAGCTAGTCATCAGGTTCCAGCAATCAACCCTAGATCACAGGATAGATCATCTTCACTTCATCTAGTTGTGTTCTGGTCAACTCATCCCCAGCCATCTGTGGCCCGGTTTAAATAGGTTTCATCTGCACACTCAAGTACTACTGGTTCTTGATTTTATCTCTTGAAATAGCTGAGCATCAACAGAGTCTCACTTCGGTACAATGACTGTGTATTCCCTTCAACTTCCTTTGATGCTTCCTGTCCACAGAATCCTTCCATACTGCAACTCAAAGACTTGAATCTTTTTTTGAGGTTCAGAAATGCCAAGCATGTCCTTTTCTTTTGATGTTCTAACTCCAAGTCTTTGTATCTTTCTTTAAAATACTTTGTGTTATTCTCGCTACTTGCCTTTCTGTTGAGCTCTCTTATTTCATCATGTAAGATTTGAAAATTTCTACTGAGTTCTCTTATGTTAAGATCTGTAAACAAGAACTACAAGATTTAAATTTTAATTTCCAATTCTGTTCTATCAGCTAAAAAGCTACCTTTAGCTGTGATCCTACTTGTGCTGCCTTTCCAAATCTGAAAAATAAATCAATGACAAAAAAAATCTGAAGCAGAGATAGCTGAAGAAAGATAATCTAGATGTTAAAATGTGTCTTGGACTAAACCAGCTGCTTCTAACTAAATCCTGACCCAAAGTGGCCTTGTGTTCTCATTAGAAATGTGCTCTGCAGCTGAGTATTTGGGAAGCAGCTGCCATGTCTCTTCTCTAAGGCAGCTCTGTGTGGACTCAACTCATTAATTATGCAGTAAGCCCGCAGGGGCTCCTGTCCCAAGTGAAGCCACCAACATAAATGGGCTTCTTTGATGTGGAACCGTGTGAAAATGACCTAAGTAGAGAACATCTCCTCAAATACAGATACACATGTTGCTCCCTGGTGGTCTAGTGGTTAGGATTCGGCATTCTCAACTACAGGAACACAGGAATAATCCTTCCATACCTTGACGCCATGAAGGGAGTCATGTCCAGTTCAAGGGGAAAAGACACATACGTGGTAATTTTTCTTCTCAGTTTGGCTGAGTGTTCAAATCGCTACACAACAGAGGAGCAGAAAGAGGAGAGCAAAAAACAAAGCACAGGTCTTAGAGATTACAGCAAGGTTGTTGCTCGGAACCTTGACAAAAGTGAGCTTTAAATCTTTTTTCTTAAACTGAGTTTTGGCTATATTTGGACTTTAGAGATTTAATAAAACACTATTATCCCATACTAATCTACCATACTGGACAATTAATAAAGAAAAACGACAAAGAACTGATCCTCGGAACTGTGCTGTTGATAACACTGAATACACATGGGTGGCAAAAAGAACCAATCCGGTGTGGAAAAAGTGCAACCAGCATGCTCTTCAGCGGCAAGAAGGTGAATCTTTATCTCACACTCTTTGGGCAAGCTGTAAGGAAGTGTCAGTCCCTGGAAAAGTAGATGTCATGACACAGTGATCATAAGAATGGCACAGCTTAGATAGGGCAAGGTTTGTATCTGCTGTTCATTGGGTCACATGAGCTGCAGGAAACAATAATCATCATCTAACACATGAGGTTCACGTGACATTTTTAAATTAAGAGACTGTTTAGAGTGGTAAGCAACAAGTTACACAGAAATATAACACCAAGCTGACAAAGTGCCAAGGTAGGACAAGAGAAAACTATTATGTGTAACCTGCAGGATAAAAGGAGCCCCGTGGATGACAGCGTGTAATGTGTCAGGCTGCTGATCCGAGGGCAACACAGGCAAAGCAAGGAGTCTTAACACAAAACCAAGCCCCCTGAGGGAAGGAGGTACTGGTACTAGGGTGTTGGGACTATACTCCTGGGGGACATTAAGGTCCACTGGCATAACATAGCCCACAAAGATAAATGTTCTACATCTAGCTTTGGTGAACAGCAACTCAAGTTAAAAGTTTGTAAGCAACCATCTAAGATGCAGCTATTAGTCTCTTCCTGTGTGGAGTAAGAGAAAGAAATGCAAATATGGACTGAAGCAGTCCAAAGGCCAAATGGAGCACACGAACCTCAACCATTAGACAGTGCCAGTTTATCACCACTACCCATTCTAAAAGGGAACAGTGTGAAGTCCCGGGCTGAATGGGGGGAAATGTGGAACAAAATTAAAAAGTATAGTCAAGGTTACTGCCCAACAGACTCAGAGTTCACAGAACTGCCCTTAAGTTACCCCTAAACCCAAACAAACACGCCTGAGGGGCTCAACTTTTACCCAAACAACAGATATGCCTAGAAAGTGACCACCACCACCAGGAAGGCTCTTAAACCTCAGAATAAGCATCTACATGGAAGAAGCTGTGCTGTAATCCCGAAGGCATGCAGTTCAAGGTCACCAGCTGCTCCACGGGGAAAGGATGGGCAATTTACTCCCATGTGAACCTGCCACCGCCAGTTCACTCAATGTACACAACAACATGAGGTCAAGAGTAGCATTTGTGCACTCCTTAAGAATAGAAGAACAGTAAGAGGTATCTCACTCCCTGATTTCAAATCCTACTACACTGCCGTAGTGGTAAAGACAGCATGGTACTGGTACAATGACAGACACATAGATCAATGGA